CTAGTTTCCAACGCTAAAGACGAACATTGCCGATGTAATACTAACCTCAATTTGCTTCATAACTGTGGAAACGGAGGACTGCAGCCTCTTCACCTCCTTGGTGGTGTCCTCCTCTTCCACGACCACCACTTCATCCCCCCACTTGTGGAGGATCCGGATGGCTTGAGGTCGTGACTCTTCACGCTCAATCTCCTCAACCTCGTCCTCTTTCTCCGCAGCGGGTGGCGCTCCCTGGGGGCTCGGTGGCCACACAGAGCGACCGACCACGCCCTGTGAAGTCTCAGGGCACGTCGCTTGCTCCTCCGATGCTACTGGCCTCTGTGCCCCAGACTCCGACACGATGTCGGTAGCTCTAGCTCCTGCCTCCAAAGATTATGCGGCTCCTGCCATCGCTCCTAGCGTCTCTGTCGCATCGGCCACCGTCGTCGTCAACCGTTCTTCGCCGCCAACTCCATCAGCAGCGGCGGTCCACTCCTCCGCAGACCATCGAGCGCACGGGGACTCCGGGACGAGGTCTATCGGCATTGCCTCCGCACCGGGACCAACCCCCGCCTGCTCGCCAGTATGGCCTAAAGGATTGAGATCCTCCACGCGCCTCGTTCTGCATCAGATCAGTTCATCAATCAACGTAACTATAAAGATCGGACAGCAAATGATTTCAAGGCAAAGACACTTACACGTCGGCTTCCCGGTAGACGGTTCTGAACCGGCGCTGCCTCCCCAAGCACCCAGGCATGGCTCTGGGGTCCACCCGTATGCCCTGGGCTGGAGGTCATGCGGCCCCCGCTGTTGGCCTCTCTTTCGCCTATTGTTCGGGGACTCCCTCCCCTCCCTTCGACTGCACCTCCGCGCGCGTGTTGCACGGTGGTGCCTCAGTGCTCGGAAGAGGAGCTACTGGAGCCCCATCGTCGTCCGACCACTCGGACATCGCCGCACTCTGCATCCGAGTGGTCTGATCGACGCCAAGCGAGATGCCGCCCGGCTTACGGGGAGCTACACCCGCCGTTTTCCTCTTCTTTCGGGCCGGCTCATTTTGCGCAGCCCTTTTCCCCCGGACCTTCTCTGACATCGGAGGATTCTCGTTCGACCAGCACCTGCGCCTCTAGATTCGGATGAGGTGCTGACGGCACCTTCCTCTGGCTGAGTGGTTGGCCTAGCATCTACCGCTTTCGGCCAATCGCTCCTCGGCACGCCAGAGAAGTACACCGCCCTTTCCTGCAAATGGATCTTTCCACAAGCGAATCAGTTTACTGCTCGGCACGACACAGGATAAAAAAAACACCAGGACCAAACAGTCGAGATTTTTACCTGAGGAGGTGGGTTCATGCAGTTGAAGGCTCTCGGCTGCCCTAGCACGCTGAACGGCGCATTTGGAGCGAATAGCTCTACGGACCAGTGTAGCACGGCCTCCTTCGTTAGTCTCTGCATCCTCTCCCAGGTGCCATCAGTATCTCCCTTGAAGTCAAAGCCCGGATGGGCCCTCTCCTTGCAGGGCTAGATGCGGCGCACTATGAAGCTCACCGCCACAGCGACTCCGTTCATCTTAATACCCCTCATCAGTTCGAGGAGCTCCTTCACTTGATCCATATCAACACTGGTCGGCTTCTCCGACCAACTTCTCTGGTTCTTCGAAACCCGGTCGATGTCGCACCGGATGGCAGGATGGCTCTGCTACATGAGAACCACCTGGCATTCCACCCCTTCAGCGAGGTGTTCAGCGGCACAATGATGCACTTGCCATCCATCCTGTTGTGGAGCTGTAGGTACACACCACCGACCACCTTGGAACCGCCCTCGCCCTTCTTCAGCCAGAACAGGTGTCGGAAGAGGTTGAAGTGTGGAAGAATGTCGAGATACGCCTCGTAGAAATGGATAAAAATAGAGATATGCAAGATGGTGTTCGGATGCAGATTGCACAAACTCACTCCCCAGAACTCCAATAGATCCCGCAAGAAAGGATGAACAGGAAGTCCTAATCCGTGCCAGAAATAATCTTCAAAAACTACAATTTCGTTGGTGTGCGGCATCGGAAAGGGCTCACCGTCGGCTGGACACCATCCGGTGGTGATACGATCAGGAAGAACGCCCGCCTCCACCATCTCGTTGAGCTCCGCCTCCCCCATGAGTGACGGCACCCATTACTTGTCACGGCTTGCTCCGGCGGCCGCCTTCTTCGGGTTACCACCTCCCCTCTTCGGCGCCATCTCATAGATCTGGGTTGGGACTGGCGGCGAAAGCGCGTGTGAATGTGAATCGAGAAGCGCGAGGGCTGAGGAGTAAGATAAAGTGGCGAAGTGGCAAAGGTGGGAGCGCGGAGTGCGGCGGCGCAGTTATAAAGCACCCTCCCCACTTTTCGTATTCAAGGGTTTTTGGGAAACTGCACCACGATTTGCGTCTTTCTGAATTCCCCGAAGCGGGGTGGTGGGCCGTTATCTGGGATAACGCACAACTGCAGCACATATCGCCCATTTTTTGCCGCAACTTGGAACTACACACCGAATATTCGCTGACTTCTTCGCAATTTCATCAAGGCTCAGTAATTTCTACTGTACAGCCGTTACTCCAATTTTTTCTCCACGATTTGATTTCTCCGATATTTCCACTTGTGGCTCGGGGACTACGTCATCACTACAACTTGGTTCCTCACCACACTGGGGATTTTCTACTGGTTACTGTTATTTCTGACCCTGGCACCACGTGATGACATCACCTACTATCAGGCTCAGGGACTAAGTGGACACACTTCACCTTGCAGTGAATGTGCGTTTCTCATTTTAGGGCTCCGCCCGGGGACTGGCTGCCCGCTCAGCTGGTCTTCTGCTTTTCTTCTACTTTGGACCCTAGCATCATGTGACTGCGTCACCTACTGTCAGGCTCGGGAACTAAGTGGGCACACTTCACCTTGCGGTGAGTGTGTTTGCTTTAATCTGGAAGACTCCGCGTCTCCTGAAGTTGAAGAAGACTATCTCCCTTTCTTGTGGTCGGACTCTAAGTGGGCATACTTGGTCCACTACGAGAAAATTTTTTATTTTGATCTTGAACTCCTTATATCCTTCTGACAAGCCTTACTTGGGATACTCTGCTCGGCGACGGTTCACAACTGCTCGGTGACTCATTATGGTGGTCGGACTATGAGTCTGACTGCTCGTCTCTGTTCACACCTGCTCGGACAAGCTCAAGACGACGTTGCACAGTGGATACAAGACGCTCGGGGACTAGCTGTGAGGGGTACGACCCCGGATATCCACGGCAAACTACATGGGCTGTGCTCCCAGGGGTGGTCTAGCCCACAAGACGAAGACCTACGGTGCACAGCACTGCTCGACATGCACCGCAAGACATCAAGGGCGATATCCTGAAGATAATACGAGATCTGTTAGGATAAGTTCGATCCCATGATTCATGTAATCTGTTATTCTTTCCGGTTATCTCCTAAATCTAACCGACTTGTAACCCTACCCCTCAGACAATATAAGGCGGGCAGGGACCCCTCAAAACACACGCAATATCATACGAAGCCAATACAATCCAACAGACCACAAGAGTAGGGTATTACGTCGCCCTGATGGCCCGAACCTGTCTAACTCTTGTGTCTCTGTTGTCTTCTTGTTCTTATTACGCGCACCTCTACCGATCAATCTATCTTCGTAGGAATACCCCTCAAGGACTGCCGACGATATTCTGTTGACATCAACATAATCTGTATTTATACTTAATTCCATCATCAAACATAGATATAGGAGTTTAAACTAATAAATTTCATAAGTTTTTTAATCTATGTTTTCAACAGGTTTTATCTAAAAAACGTCGAGGGAGACTTATTTGTCAAAGAAAATTACAAAATTCCGCTATATAATCGACATGGAAATACTCTAGAAGACTTCAAAAGACAAATCACCGAAGCGGCGCCCGTATCTCTAACATGTGGGGCCGACCAGACCCACCTAGAGGCCACCCGACCTATGGGCCCCCCATGTCAGCCTCACGTTTAGAGAGCACAGGCACAGCCATAAAATCAATCTCTGGCAAGTAAAGGCCTGCTGCTGCCCGCTACGGGAGAAACTATATACCCGAGATCACGAACAATGGCAACAATCATGCTTTAAGAGTGCTAGCCCACGAACCATGGCAAGAATCATGCTTTAAGAAGAGTGCTACCTCGAAAAGGCAAGTAACCAAACACAGGCCACAGGGATACAACCTAATGCAGCCAACAACCATAGTTATCCCTCACAATGGTGCCAGTGGTGGCTACCTAGAGTGCAGTAATAACCAACCTAAACTCTGGAATATGGTCATGAAGAGAAGGTAGGAAAATCATTTTGAGATAGTGAAAACAGGCAATTGCTGGAGGAAAAGGGAACAGAAATCAACAGCTACACAGAGTATTTCCCAGGCTAAAATGCAGTACCACAATACATCTAATGCATGCCCAAACTCTGTTGTCTTCAATGTTCAACCCGCTTGAACCACAAGCAGGTACTGTCAAATCTTCATACTGTACTTGTATCATTTCTCACAGTTCATGTCTTTATGTGCACCACAAACGAACCTGTCATCAAGAACACAATTTAGATAGCTTTCATGAGTTCATATAAGGCAAAATTCATGCAATAGGCACTGAAAATATGAAACGGAGCGGCAACTTTCTGTCAGTATAAAGTGAATGAAGAGATGTGCAGTGCTCTTCCGAGCTGCATGGAATAGATTAGGAGATGCCAACAGGATCTCAAAATGGTTAAAGTAGAAGAAAATAAGGACCCAACAAGATTTCCTTTGGAATGGCAGGGAATTCCTGCCACTTAATTCACCAGAGCCTAAATTACATCACAACAATGTGTTCTTCAGAGGCTTGGAGGCCCCTGTTTTGATGTTTCAGTATAAAGAATGAAATTTTCCTTCTAACTCAATCCAGATTGTTTATAAACATTAAAAACATTTTCACAGCTCAAACTGAATGGAAATTGAAGGATCATAACAGAAAAACGTTTGCATAAACACTAGAAATAATCAAGGAATAGCATGAAAGCAGAACGTATTGTACTTCCACAAAACCAAAAGAATGTGCTAAGATGAGTACTGGGTAGTACAGATCTATAGTACCCAAAAATAATTGTCCATGCCTCCATGGGCACCAATACAGGAGATGCACTCTTAGGCAATGAGTCAATGATGGTAACAGGCATGGAACAGACCAAATCTGAAGGTCACACAACCATATCATAGGCAACAATTTATCTAGTTGATTATGAGTATAAAAGGTAAATTAATAAACCACAATTTATCTACTCCCTCCATTCCAAATTATAATACATAGCTTTTGCTATGCACTTCGATATACACTGTCTAGATACATACTAAAAGTATCTAAAAAAGCCAAAATGTCTTATAATTTGGAATGGATGGAGTAGATTTTAATGTCTGAATCCAACCTTCTAACATTTCACTTTGCACAGCCCTCGCTGCTAGATTACACATTGCAATAGTATCTTAAAATCGAACTTTCTACATCATGACAACCTCTGAACAATAAGCACCATACTTGGGTACTTGTTTGACTCCAGTGGTTGATATAAGATGAGCAACAGATCATCAAATGATGAAAATTAACCACATGTCAAAAGGTCATAGGAAAAAGCATAGCTCAACTTACATGCTGGAAGGTTTGACATGTCAGCAGAGACAGAACACGGAATTCCTAAGTTGGTCAAGGCACCTCTTATCAATCCGCATGGGAAATACAGAAGCATGGTAGTTGTTTGGGCTGCAGTATCACCCAATGCTGCAGAATCATTTTCAGTTGAATCTGTGTTCTCTGTATATGGATCTAGAGAAACACAAGTAAGCCACCGAAAACGGTTATCTTGAAGGACAAAGGTACCCTGCATGTACAGTAGTCAAGAGATGTCAGTGTTTAACAAGAAGGAAAAACAGGTAGGAGGTATTTCTGCATCACCCTATGATTTGTTTTCAGATTGTCAATCTGTTTCTTGAACAGCTCTGACCAAAAGTCTTTGCAGATAAATTTGATTGCTTCAAGATGATCACTAAATCGAGGGCGCTCCATGGTATATCTGAATATGAACAAAATTTTGGTTGAGTCTGCAGAAGTACATGCATTGGAGCGTTGCACTGACTAAAAAATTAATCACGCAGAAAACTGAAACAGATTTGCAGAGCATAAAATATTGTGCCTGAGACGTTACAGGCAGAGAGGCCTTGTGCTCTAAAAAAGTAAAGAAGCACAGCACAACAGTAAACATGTATGCAAAATTATTATATATATATATATATATATATATATAAATATATATATATATATATATAATCATCCACCAAATAAGATGAAGATCACCTATAGAAAAAGAATAGAATGTATTATGAGAAAAAAATAATAAGAAACCCATATATAACATTAGAATAAAGAACATCTAAAAGTCAGAGAGATAAATTTCTGAACTTTAAAATTGATGCAATAATTTGTTTGGTACTCTCCTCGGCCCATAAAGAGTTTATTTTTACTATTCAAAATTTTCCCCACAAAAAGTATATATGGAGATGTTGCCCTATTAGATAAATAGCCAGCATGCTGTTTGCAAGCGGAAAATTAGGGTAATGATCTGCCTCTAACCAAAAGACATCATGCATGAGAACCACATCTAATAACAGCATTAATTAGGGCACCTGACCTAAGTCATTTCTCCATGCTACTAATATGTCTGAGAATTGCTACAGATAAACTCTTTGTCGAACGGAGAAAATAGTAGGAAAAAAAATCTCAAGCATATCAAAAGCAGTTAGCATATTATAGTTAGGAGAAAAAAAAAGATAAAATCATATCAAGTGCTAAAGAGACATGTGGTGAAGGCAACGTTCCATTTATTAACTTGACCTAAAATTGTTCATTGAATAGTATAAGAACATAAGAAATGCAGTTCATCAATCCAGTGTATGATATTCCAGTAAGGACTAATTATGCAGTTTGCACAAAAGTATTAACTATGGCCGTCAATGGTTTCAGAGGAAACATGTCATATTATCAATCATGGGCTCATGGCATTATCAGATGCGCGATAAGAGAATGTGGCTATGAAATACGGATGGTTCTAAACTCCCATAGTCAGTTCGCTCCATGATGAATTCCAAAAAAACTGAAGCGTCATTCAAATTTCCCTCAACAATTGCAACCACATGTCAAAAGATTTATACAAAAATATACAACTAGTTTTTACAACCAGAAAGGTGGGTACTTAGTTTGCTCGCTAGTTCCGTAAAGCTAGACCTCATGGAGTTTATAAATTTGCTTCAAGGGATAAGCTATACAAAATGCTCAAATTGCCTTCTCAACTAAAAAAATGTTAGGCACCCGGTAAAGTTCATTAGACTTATTCGAAGGTGGTGACAATAATAGATAGAGCATACATGCTGGGTATGAACCCTTCAAATTAGCTTCAAAGTACAACTAGCTCAATTTTTTAAATAGGCAAATGCGGCACAGCCCAACGATCAAACATGTCAAACAGCAAACTTTAGGAACCTCAACAGTACTAGCATCCACAGAATGACAGGAATAGAATCTTTTAACTTGATTTGGTAAATGGTTCAGTAACTTAACTATATGAGAAGATTTTTACCAGCCACGTCCCTGATTAGACATGTGCTCGATTGATATAATTACTATAGCATTTATAGATAACTAGACCCTTGTGGAACAATACTTGTGCCTGTTTACAAGAAAGGGTGATACTTTTGGTTAACACCTTAACTTACTGAAAATGTGCCACTTGGATGGCGATCATTAATCAAGTAGTTCTTGCCAGTCAGTTCTTGCTTGCCCTGATGCAGATTAAAACAATGGTGATTTGGACAGGCAAGCGAAAATTTCATTCATGTAAGGTTCCCAAAAGGCACCGGAACCATGAGGTTTAGGCTGGATCGTAATACCAAATCTAAGAGCCTGCGCCAACTAGACCACAACTAAGAGAAACATTTCGAGATTTACCCATATCAGTAACCGGAACCACACAAGGGTGACAGATCATCGGTTAAGGTTTGGACTTGGAACCTGAGTGCAGAAATAGGCAGATGAAGAACAGAATGGGAGAAAAAAGTATTTTTTTTCTGGTCGTACCTCTCAGAGAGCTGGTGCCCGACCTGGAAGCCGATGGCCTCGATGCGGCGGGCGGCGAGCTCTGGCTTGGCGGCGTAGAGGCCACCACAGTAGACCGCCACCATCTCCATGACCACCGCGTCAACACAGCTCTCCGCGATAGCCATCAGGTTTATCAAGGATGTCTAAATTTGTAAATGAAGAAATAACATTAGGGACTTTGTAAGTCTAAATTTTCTAGCAAATAAACAAGAGACTTTAACACAACTTTTGTTGCATAAACAAAAAGAAGCAAAAATTAAAAAGGCAAGTTTGAAAAAAAATCAACAATCAGATCTCTGATAACATAATCAAAGATTAGATGAATCGAACTATTGCAAATTTACAACAAAAGAAATCCCTGGGATTGACATGCATGGACAGCATTACATATGAATGCTACCCTGATGAACATGATCCAGATAAAAAGTAACCAACTCATGTTAACTAGCAGAACATCAAGGTCAAACATTTGATGCCATCATCTAAGTGAGGCTCAACTACCTAATTAGAGACGATATATCCTTCAGTGAACCGGCAAACAGTAATTATTGTTTGGGCTGCTAGAAATGTCATACAAAGATGCATGTTTATTGTGCAAATAAGATTTCAGGTGAAAAAAAATCATCTTCTGCCATCTGAACACTCGAGTTACTGAATGAGGCGGCAAAATGCTCTAGAATAGTAAAATTTTTGGTATGAATATATCTGACCGTCCCATCCCCGAAAGTGTTTATAACTTTAAACTTCTAGTCTTTTTCTTCTCATTCAAACAGTATGAAGAAAATTCACCGAATCAAAAGTTTTCATTGGCTGTTGTTTCCAAAATCTGATATAACCACAATACTCATCTCCACAGTAGCATGTTCGAAGCTTCTGAAAGAATAGTGAATTTTAATAGAACAAGATGGGTAACTGATGCACATAATGAGCTAGACAACAGACCCACACGGCAATCTAACTTCGACACACCACGAGCAAACTACCAGGTAATCAAAACTACACCGCCTCAGACCCACACGGCAACCAAATCCACACCCACAATCGACACCTAGTTCTGAGCTCTCCCAACCCTCGAGAACTCAAACTCGGGCGTAGCAGGAAGTCCCAGAATCACTCCAAATTCCAAAACCAGCGCAATGGAATTAAAACAAATCGGATCTGGCAGGGGAACCACCTGAAACCGTGTGAAGCAGGATCAAGCCCCCAACCGTGGCACCAGCGACGGGATCGAGGGCCAAGCGCGGCGATCGAGAGGCGGTGCCAGGACCGGTCGAACAGGGTGCGCAGTCGGCCCTGTCTGGATCTGCTTAAGCTGGCTTTTTCAGAGCTGGCCAAAGAAGCCACTTCCTAAAAAAAGCTCCATACAAAAAAGCATGTGTTTGGTGTCCAGCTTATTGTTTGGGCTTCTTTTTAGGTAGACAGACCCACATGTAAGTGAGTTGGAGCCCACACCTGCACGAGAAGGGTGAATCGGCGACGCTCCTCAGCAGGCACAAGCGGCGGTCCGCGCGGCCCCTCTCGGCTGCGGCTTCTGTGTCTCCTCCACGTGTCTCCATGTGTGTCGACTGGGCCATGGGTCCTCAGTTTTTTTACAACCACACAGTCATCTATCCGTCAGCTGATCGCTAGGCAGGGGCTGGCTGGGCTGGCTGGCCAGCCCCCTCACGTGCTTCTTATTCACGCAAATCAGGCAGTAGTATTTTTCTCTTACATAAACAAACCAGCAACGATATGAACCAGTCAATCGAATAAGTTGTGTATCTGTCACGGCGTTGGTTTATGTCCGTTCGGCTATCCCACATATTTTTAATCACCATTGTGGGGAGTGTGGAGACATAGAGACACATGGAGTAGAGACATGGTGTGTTTAGTTTCCGGGCTAACTTCTCGTCTGGTTAAAATCCTAGCCTGGGCAGACTTAGGGCCTCTTTGGCACGGCTTATGCCGGCTTCGGCTTCATCTATTTTGCGCAAATCGAGGCACTATAGCGTGAAGCCGTTTTGTAAGCCGGGGTTAAAATAAACTAGAAGCCGGGAAAAGCCAGTTTTTCTGGCTTCACTGGTTTTGGCTTCACCGGTGAAGCCGTTTTGGATGAGCCGTGCCAAAGGGGCTTTAGTCTGTTCCCACCAAGCCAACTCCGGGTTGTTTGATTGTCTGTACTATGTTAGCCTGGCTAGTCCGAGAGTGTGTTTGGTTGCCTAGTTTATTTTGATATAGTTATCTCTTCTCTAAATCGGTAAGTTTACCCCTTTTGAGAAATTTGGTCGAACACCTGGTCGGCACCTCTTGAATGGGTGCACGGTGAGCATCCAACGAGCACAACTAGCACCCTAACAAGCACAACCAGCAGCCCGGCGATGAATTGGGAAGAGGGAGGCGGAGGAGGGTTCGGGTGGGGAGGCGATGGGAGGAGGAGGCGAACCATGAGTAGCGTAGGAAGGGTCTACCGCCACTTGGGAGTTGTGGGTGCGCGCCGCCGCCGGACGTCTCGTTGCCCAGGAGCATGAGGTTGGTGAGGACGAGGGTGGCTAGTCCGGTGATCTCGACGGTGCCTAATTCGGTGACGATGACGGAGCGTGTCCATGTCAGGATGGCCACGCGGGGGCTGGGGGTTGCACTGAGGGGGGAGGGGCACCGGGGCTCCACCGAGGGGGAGGCAACGCCGGGGCGCCGCTGCGCCGAGGGGACGGGGAGGCGAGCCGAGCAAGCGCGCAAGGGGCCTCCATGGCCACGAGCACCAAGGGCGAGAGGAGCGAGCAAGGGGCCTCCATGGCAAGCATCGAGGGGGACCGGGCGGAAGAGCGGAGGAGCCCGAGCGGACCGGGCGGGCGTGGGGGTGACGAGACGCCGCTGCGGGGCTTAGCCAAGTCTGGCCACGGAAAAATGGAATTCCATCTCGTTTTTCTAGAGCGTGGCTAAGGCCTCTAAAGTGGCTTAGCTAGGCCTAGCTACGGGCTGTTTACATGCTACCAAACAACTGCAAGTTGGCTTCCTGGAGAGTGGTTGGGAGTTAGCCACCCTAAAAGTTCCTAATGGCTAGAGGGGGTGAATAGCCTATTAAGAAATTTCTACAACAACACTTAACAAATTGGTTAGACAATTATGAAGCGAAGCAAGTGTTGTGCTCGCCTACTAAAATTGCAAGCCGCCTACCAATCCTAGTTTATATAGTTTCTATCCACACAATAGCTATGTCACTACACTAAGTTAGTGTGCTCTCAAATGCTAACTAAAAAGCCACACTAACCAAACTAACAAGCTCTCACAACTAGCTATATTAAAGAGCTTGACAACTAGTTTGCGGTATTATAAAGAGAGAGAGCAAGATAGTTATACTGCCGTGTCGAGGAGTGAATCAATCAATCACAAGAATGACTATCAATGAAGACCAATCACCTCGGAATCAAATGATGACACAATAATTTTTACCGAGGTTCACTTGCTTGCGGGCAAGCTAGTTCTTGTTGTGGCGATTCACTCACTTAGAGGTTCACGCGCTAATTGGCATCACACGCTAAACCCTCAATAGGGTACCGCACAACCAACACAAGATGAGGATCACACAAGCCACGAGCAATTCACTAGAGTTCCTTTTAGCTCTCCACTAGAGAAAAGTCAAGAACCCCTCACAATCACCATGATCAGAGCCGGAGACAATCATCAACCTTCGCTCGATGATCCTCGCTGCTCCAAGCCGTCTAGGTGACGGCAACCACCAAGAGTAACAAGCGAATCTAGCAGCGAAACACGAACACCAAGTGCCTCTAGATGCAAACTGTCGGTGTTTCGAACCGGGGGGTCCTCAACCAACCAGTGAATTTGAACTACGTGCCCCAAATCCCGGATGGTGATGCAAAGAGACACAAGGTTTATACTGGTTCAGGCAATCGATGCCCTACGTCTAGTCTAAGAGATCGATCTTGTATTCCTTGCACCGAGGTGCTTGTAGTAGGGGGTTACAAGCTGGGCGAGAGAGGGAGCTGGTCCCAGGTCTCGGCGTGGTGCGGTGCGGGCTGCTTGAGGCGTTGTTCTCAGGTAGCGGGGGGAGCGTGTGTTACAGAGTGTCGCTTGCACGTGTGTGAGAGTGTGGTTCTTTCGTATGTTTTCTTGCCTCTCCTAGAGCTATCCCTAGCTGCTTCCTTTTATAGCCGCAAGGAGGGAGCCATGAGTACATGAGTGAGCTACACGTGGAGCCTACTGTAGTTCAGTCCTGTAGCAGCATGGTGTTGGGAATAGTGATCGGTACTTGACTGGCGCGCCGTGCTGGCGAGGCCCGAGGTTGTTGAGGTCGTGGGAGTCCTTGTTGACGTCTAGTCAGTATGGCCTCCACTGTAGGAGACATGTCATGCCTTGTGGATTCTTGACTTGGCGGAGTGCCGAGGCCTGGCGGGTGCTATAGCTGATCGTGCCGAGGCCTGCTTTGCCGAGGCCTCGGAGGTGACCCGTGTATGATGCCGGGGTCTTGGTGGTCAGCGTCGTACCCAGTTTAGGTGAAAAAGTGCGGAGCGTGTGTCCACAGGGCACGGTAACCCCTGCACCGTCAGTAGGGGATGGTAAAAAAGAGATTTGACCGCTGTCCCATCGCCCCTGTTGCTGTACCCTGCCAGTCGTGGCTGACGTAGTAGGTGTGACCAGGCACACTTAAGCGGATGAGACGGCTCGCCAGAGGGACGGATGAGGCGGAGGCGACGAGGATGCGGGACGAGCCCGGCCTCGGTCGAGGCGGAGAAGGAATAGTATGTCCAAGAGGCCTGCCGGGGGGTCTCGGATGAGCCGGAGGATGAGCAGTTGGTCTTTTATGTAGATTCCGAGACTACAGGGACCCGGACTTGACCCTCCACGCCGCTTTGTCCTTGGCGCAGGAGTTAGGTAGCCTGAGGCGACGGGTGTCGTTAGGGGCTGATGATGAGCACGATGGCGGGTAACCCTGCTGCGCCGGCCCCCCTATCCCATCGGTCACTCTGCTGTCATCTTGCGCCAATGTCTGGTGACCGACGCTATGGGAGTAGTTAGGCGATTAATCGGACGTGACTTGTTGTCAGAGGAGTCGGTCGGGACGGAGGTGATGAGGTTGATGCCGAGCCCAGCCTCGGGCGAATCAGAGAATTGGTAACCCATCCGAGGC